CAGCAAATGTTACAAAACTGAGAGGAATGTTCATACACCAGGTGGTTGTGCTGCCATTTAGCGAGACCTCCACAGGCTGGAGAAATGGGCTGACAGGAATCCATCGAAGTTCAACAAAATCCTGCACCTGGGAAGGAGTAATCCCATGCATCAGTACAGGCTGGGGGTTGACCAGCTTGGCAGAAAAGGACCTGGAGGGCCTGATGGACAAGTTGAATGTGAGCAATGTGCCTCTGCAGCAAAGACAACCAAAAGCCTCCTGCATTAGGCAGAGGATTGCCAGCAACTTGAGGGAGGTGATCCTTCCCCTCTTCTCGGCTCTGGTGAGACACACCTGGAGTGCTGTGTCCAGCGCTGGGCCTCCCAGTTAAAGAGACACTGCAGAGACACAAGCAAATCAAGTGAAGCTCCATGAAGATGATTATGGGACTAGAACATCTGATATAAGAGGAGAAACTGAGACAGCCAGGATTGTTTAGCTGGGAAAATGCTCATGGTCATCTTATCAATAAGCATAAATACTTGATGGAGGCAGTAAAGAAGACAGAACCAGATACTTCTAAGTAGTGCCAGTGAAAGGACAAGAGGCAATGGGCAAAAACTGAAACACAGGAACTTCCATTTAAACATAAGAAAGACTTATTTCACTGTAAGGGAGATTGAACCCTGGAACAGGTTGCCCAGAGAAGCTGCGGAGTCTCCCTCCTTGGAGATCCTCGAAACCCAACTGCACAAGCTCCTGAGCAGCCTGCTCAGTTTGACCCTGCTTTGTGCAGAGGGGTTGGACTACACAGTCTCCAGAGGTCCCTTCCAATCTCAGCAAGTCTGTTAAAAGGCATTAAAAAGTTATTTTCTTTCAGTGGACTCCCTTCTGACATCTTTCACAGCTGTTTAACTCAGGTGCCTATTAGTTTGGGCTTGTAAGTGATTTATCTGTGTTCCTCCCAGCCACCTCCCACACAGACTTGTCACTAAAAATCCACAGTCCTTCCTCTGTGTCTTTCCAAAGCTGTCCCAGACTTGGAGACTTCAGACTCTTTAACTTTACATGCATGTTATGCAAAGGACACATACTTTTCAATTTCACAGAAAACATTCAGACATCTGGCTCAGAAAGGTATTTCAATATAGAAATAATGCCAATTACTTACCTATTTAAATTTAGCAATGAGCTTTAGTACTTTGCAGAACTGGACTTTTAACACACAGGGACCAAACTAGCACTTGCTGTGGTCCTTGAACACTTCCCAAAACCAGTGTGAGCACTAGGAGTCAACGGGGCTCAGAGTCCCTCTCAGAGTCAGACTTTCACCCCAAAATACCACACCTATAGGTTGATAGATAGGTATACTACATATATACCATACCTATAAGTACATACCATACCTATATATGTACCATACATATAGGTATGGTATAAATATACACACACACATCCACACATACCCCAATCATATATATATATATGTATAACACACACACACACATCTATAGATATGCTGTTCAGAAGAGCACAGAAAGATACACTTAGAGCAGGTTGGGTGCAGAGTGCCTTAGCAAGTGTATCAGACCAGTATTGGCAAGCCATGGAAAAATTTTCAAATTAGAGAAATTTGAAGCAGATGACTTATCTGAGGGCTCAAGTCAAGGGGAGTCCTGCCTCTGAACTCAACAGTGGTTTCATTCTCAGTCTCCACACTCTCCAACTAGCCACAGTAAGAGGTGTGGCAAAGCATCACCACAATCAACTGTTGGGGAAGAAGGCAACGAAAAATCACAGCAGCGACATTCTGGTGTACTCAAATAAGGAAACCAAGGTCATCCTGGATCAATGTACTATATAGATCTTGAATGACTATCTTTTCTTTTTGCTTGAAAAAAGCCACAGACAAAACCATCACACAAAAAAACCCCAGATAACATTTATCATCACAAAACAACTGCTATGCAGAATGTCATTACTTTGACTATACAAGACGAGATAAATTTTATCCTGCTATCAAATGATAAGTATTTATAGCTCTCCATAATTGTTTACTAGGAAAAAAGATTGTGAAATCAAAATAATAGTAAAAGTGGCAAACCTTTAAGCCTTTCAACATCTGATACACCAGGAACTGGATTCGGTCTTCAGTTAGTTTCTCATGTTTCATTATCTTACTCAAGTCTGTTCCCATAAATGGCATGACAAAGTAGCTTAAAAAAAAAAGAAAAAAGGACAGAATAACTTTAATTTGTCAAATAAATTGAAACATAATTGTACGTTACAGTTCAGTGACAATATTAAATTATAGATCATTCCATTTACCAAACAATTCCATCATCATCCCCCTGCCCTCCAAGTTTCTCTGGTTTTATCTATTTTGATTGTCGTGAAGAGGTATTGCCCAAGCCTGTCGCTGATTATGGAAAGTTGCTACTTATCAGAAGAGTGCAGATTCTGAACTAGTTAGAAAGAACCTAACCAAGAGCCATGTGGTATTTCAAAGACACCTACACAGAAAACAAAGACATTCATGCAATGCTATGTATCTCACAATTCTGATCATAGCGTTGAACTAGCAGCAACCAAACCACCTAGATGGTTCATTCAAATAGATAAGGTCAGACGTAACAGAAATAGAGTTGATCAAATTAGGAGGCAACAATAACTTCCATTAATTTTCACCTGGGATCATAAACTGCGATTTTCGGTACTTAGTACTGGTAAGGGACACCAGCAACAGAAAGCTTGAGAATGCCAAGCTGGCATTTCAAGGCTAATCTTCACTTAAGATCCAAAACTGTTCTTCTCACTGCTTGTAGTAAAATCAACCATTTTTACATATGCATAAAGTCAGGTCTGAACACAGACAGAGCCAGTCATGTCTGGCACCTGAGGATAAAGTCATCAGTTTTCCTCTTCTTATGAAGATGAGCAGATGCATTTTCATGAAGGGAAGAATTAGATGTGATCATTGTTTCATAGCTACAAATTTTATTACTTAGACTTAAATGGGTTTCCTCTGGTTAAAATATGCAAATTATAATTCTGCTGATTTCTACTATTAAACCTGTATGAAAACTTCATTTATTCTATTAGAATTGTAACTATAAACAAAATAGAAATTTAATATAAAGTTACACGGGAGATGGGACACCGATTTAGTCACTAGGAGTTATAGGTAATATTTTCAACATTTCCTAGGTACCAAACATTTTTCCCCACAACTTTGGGGATCAGGATCAGGCTCCCAGTCCCAGCATTCACAGACAAATTCGCTATCCTTTGGATACAAAAGATGAGCAATTTAATTCTGTAACTATATAAGGACAGAGCAAATATGGAGAACAGAATGACATTTCTTATCTCTCCCCCAGTATAATACACAAAATGTTTCCCATCAGAAGACCAAGTGACTTAGAAAATGGAGTTTAACTTTTTTGTTGATGGTCCTGAATGTTGAGAGCATATTAAGGTCTCCCCCCACTCAAGACTTATTAAATACATTATCACAGAGGTCATGAATATTTGGAATGAGCCGTAAAAAGACAGTTTAGTGACTGTTCTCGAAAAAACAGAGGTAAAAAGAGGCGGGGCAAGAGAAATAGAGAAATATCTACACATCTTTTACTACTGGTAGTGACCCTCAAGCATTCATTAGAATTTTGCTCGCCTGCCATTGTCTGTACAAATCCCCAGGCTCTGGATGGGTAGTGATTTATGTGAATAGACAAAGTTCAAAACAATATATAACCATTAATCACTGTAAAGAACAGGATGAGAAGGACAAATAAGACTATTTTTACATATGCACAATTTGCTAAGTTTACAAATTGATGATTTCAAATCTCTTACAGTCAAATAGAAAGAGGTCTGGGTGGGTGGAGAAACAAACAAAATGTAAGAGAGGGAAAACCCATTCCTATCTGAGTTTGAAAATCCAAACTTTAGTAATCATTGGAACACACAGCAACACATTGGAACAGGACAACAATGAGATCAAACACTACGGGCTCACTTTTAACACTTTGTCTACTATTTAAAACTTCACAAACTTATTTTTATTACTAAAAATGTACTTACGATCCACAGCTGGAATCCTCAAATAAGCTGAGGAGGTTAGGCACCCGATTAATAATTCACTTCAATGGGAACTTGATGCTTAACACATTTAAATTCTTTGCAAGTTCCAGTTAAAACCCAAAATTCTTACAAAATGAGGAGCAGCAACCCGTTCTGGCACATTGTATACAATACAAGCACAGACAATGCAAGGAATAGAGATGAAGGGGGTGAAAAGCAGCTGGTAGAGTGGGACTTCATTGGTAAAGATTTATGCATTTCTGATTTTGTACACCATTTCAATCAGCTGAACTTCTAAAACTGTAGGAAGTTCAACACAAGCATGAGTAGGGA